TTTCAATTACGTGGATTATTTGTTGAACTCTATTTGCTTAAATTGAAACCCATGGATATGTTTGTTTAAATTTTAGAAAATATTTGACAATGATCTTGCAAACAATTATTGTCTATAAGTGTCACCACAGAAGTCCCACGTCTTGGGGGACTTAAATAACCATTGGCCCTTCTTTGGTCACTCTGTGGTCCCACGTCTTATTGTCATGGATCCATTGACATCTGTTCTGATTGTCACTTCAATGACCCCTGTTCTGTTCTGTACTATGTCGTTGCTATAATTATTTACGTAATTTATTTCAGTTTCTGCCACTTAATTAATTTGTTTATTCAACTTAAATTATGTTAATGGTTTAACCTAAATAACTATCCATGGCTATTTTTGTACCCCTACACTCACAGTATAATATTTCTCACTCTGCTACGTGTTTATAGCTGTTACTCCTTTCAGGTGACGGGATTTAACCAGATCAAGATGGGAGATAAATCGCAGTGTTTTCTTTTCTTCTTTTTTTTTTTGTTTTTCTTTCGTACTATCTGTATTTTGATTGGACTCTTGTAACAAAATAAAAGCCCAAATGACTTTTTTTGTTTCTTTTAATAAAATTTTGGTATCTAATTATTTTATTTTAATTTATTTAATTTATCCGTTGCGCTACCATTGCAAAAATTTTAGAATTATTTTATTTTATCTTGTTGCGACGCCGAACCTTTTGGTAACGGGTATGGGTCGTGACAGTAGGTCTTCACTAGAGAGGAGAAGAGGGAGAGATAAAGAGAGTCACTATAATTTCCGAGGAGAAGAGGGAGAGAGAGGGAGAAAAAGAGAAAGAGAGAGAGAAGAAGAGGGAGAGGGAGATTAGAGAGCAGTGGAATGATGAAAGAGGATAAAAGTGGTGAGAGGAGAGAGAGAACATTTGGATAGGAAATGAATGCATCTTAGCTATTGAGTTTTGGATGGAACAATTTGAACCATTAAAACATAATTTTTTCTGTATTTTTTGTACATCTTTTTACAAAAAAATAAAAAAATTATTCTCAGCATACTAAATTTTTTTTTACCTCATATATATGTTATAAAAGTAATATTTTTTTTCATATTTAAATGACACATTATAAGGGCTTACTTTCACGTCAGTACGTATTTTCTTAATTATATATAGAGTTCTACACAAACCCAACCTTATTTAAATTATACTAACTTTACCTATTTTATATGGACTTTATTTCATAAATATTTATATTTTTCATGATAAATTGAGATAATCCACAAACTCAATACCAAATTTTCTTTTCACATTTTTCTTTTTAATTCTTTCAAGGGTATTAGAATTTTTTTTTAATGCTAAATTGCCTTCTTTTTTTTCGTCTTATTTTCCCGTGCATTATTCTATACCCAATACAAATTCTATATTATTCTATATTATGGATTTATCGTTAAATTTTATAATGATTCAATATATGAAATTATACTTCATTGCCTATATTATTTTGTATAATCACAACTCACATGTGGAAAAACCTACACCACAATGATACTCTCGAGAAAGTTTGAATTTACTATTTGAGTTACCTTTTCAATTGTTGAGTAGTAAATTCTTTTATGTGTTAATATCATATTACAGATGATTAATTACTTCACACATTCAAGTATATCTATCATTTGAATGTTTTCATTATTTTTTCTTTTTGGGTTTAGATGTTGTTATGTGATTCTTTTTGGTTAGTTGTTGTTGAATTTTTTATATAGTTGATATTTTAATTTAATTAAAAGTGTTCATTTTACAATACTATAATTTAATATATATATATATGTGTGTGTGTGTGTGTGTGTGTGTGTAACATATTTATATTTAATTTTTTCAATAAATTTTATATAATTTCTATTTTTACATATTTTAATTTTCTAAATGACTACAAAAGAAAATTAAATAATTAAAATTACTTTTAATTTTACTTTACTAATTATTCTTCTAATTAAACTATTATTTTTATTATTAAAATGAGTATTTTTTTTATTTTATAATTTATGTATCATGCAAAATAATTATATGATAATTATACTTTTATAATACGATAGAACTAAATTATCAAAATATACAAATAATTTAAGTAAAATTAATATATATATATATATATAAAAGTATTCAAGTAACAATTTTATAGAATGATAACGTCAATATTATCAAAATAAATAATTAAAATCATACTTTAATTATTTTTTTATAACACATATTGTACCATCAAATATTTTTTTGAAAAAAAAAAGGGTAAATTATAATTTAACCCCCTGTGGTTTGCTTAAAAAACACGGAGCTCCTCTATAGTTTCATTTGTAACACTTAAACCCCCTATACTTCATACCAGTGCAATTTTCGACGGAACTGTTTGTTTAAACAGAACGTGTGCTGCACGACCATGAATGGAGAGTGGAACAATTTTTCCCACCCAAAAACATATGGCAAATGACCAAGATACCCTTATTGCCATATATATGTATATACAAAATGGTGTAGTGCAATAAAGCATATATTACACTCTTGGCAAAACATTAACATCTTTATCCCCAAACGAAAATTAGTGTTTGAGCATGGGTTTCATTTACCTCAAGCATTAACATCCTTTGAGCATTGGTTTGAGCATGGGTTTCATTTACCTCAAGCATTAATTTCCTTTGGTTTGTTTCATTTACCTCAAGTTTTCTCTCTCTCTCATTATATAAATATACAACACCATAATCTTCCATGCAAAACCACTACCATCACCTTTTGTTTCCCCTCTCATCTCATCACCATCACCTTCCATGCAAAATCACAACCAACTAACATCACTACCATCATATTCCATGCAAAACCACAACCAACTTCTTATTCCATGCAAAACCACCACTCAAAATCATCACCACAACTTCTCTCTCTAAAAATTATCCAAACCCACTTTTCTTCTTATAATTCAAATTAGTGACAAACCCAACCCATAAAATCAAACAATTAATATGTGTAAACATTTAGATTTTTGAAATAGCATTGATGGGATTCATACCAACCAAACCCACTTTTTCTTCCTGTTTCCGATATTTCTTTGGCCCATCTTTCGGACTCCATAACTTTCCCGATTCTTAACGATTTTATCCCGTTCTTTCACCAATCTCCTGACCTTGCTTTATACTTCATACTACACTACCTCATTTTTTCACTTCTTCCTGAAATGGGTGGTTTCGGCATACCGAAAGTTGTCCGAAAACTTCAAACGTTTCAAAAAAATATCTCCAAATCTATTTCTTTCTTTTTCATCATCCACTCTCTTCTCTTGCTTCATCTATAGCACTTTGTAAAGGGTGGTTCTTGGTTTTGACGAAGCTGGGCAATTGTGGTGATGATGGTGGTCACGGTGAGAGAGAAGATATATATATATATATATATATATAGAGAGAGAGAGAGAGAGAGAAAGATCACACTGCCAACTTAGTATTCAGTTGGAGAGTACTGGCAGAATAGATGACACTTGGCTGACCTGCAACAGAAAGAGAAGATTCCGGCGGTGGTTCTTCCACCCGGGGGCACTCCGACGATCAAGTCAGTATATCTCTCAAAGATAATCAATAGTGCTAAACTCACTGTTCAGAATATAAATTGTGTACCTTAGACCCATCGGGAGTGCCTTTCTTTTATAGTTAACTTAATCCTAGTCCCCATAGAAGCCTAGCTTTAATAGACTTCTGCTCAGTGCTTATCTTGGACTCTCCAAGAGATAAAGATAAACTCCCTAAGAGTGTTATCCTTATCTATGCTAAAGTCCTTCCTCATTCTAGGACTCTTGTCCCTTATCCGCTTATCTCAGATTCCGATATCTTCGGAGATAACCTCGGCCTAACGAGATCACCTCGGCGTCATAACCTGGACACGTGGTACCTCGGCTGACACGTTGGCGTCACCTTGGCCACGTGTTGGGACTCAGAAAATACATCCCCATAACTGCCCCCTAGGTTCTATTACCTCGGCCTCGGCATTCTGAGGTGATGGAACCTATACCAGAACTTCCTGCCAATACATCGGTTTAAAGTCTCTCAGCCAAGATCATTATATAGGCCGACATGTCTCTTTAAGGTTTAAATTTTCCAAGATCTCTTTCACGCGTATGAGCTGTCATGCAAAATAACTCAACTGTTTCAGCCACGCATCTTCCTTTAACTGGATCGTACTCCGTACGCGCTTGTAAGTCGTCTCACGCCTGCGTGCGCCGTCTGACGAATCCGTATTTCTAGAGTTATCAATTCCCTTCTGCCGTCTTTTCGCGTTTTTGACAAAATCAGTATCCTCTCTCTTCGTCTCTTCACTTTTCACTTTCGCGTCTGAAGCTTTTTTCTCTTTCTAACTTTTCCCTTCAAGATCCTCCATTGCTCAAGCTTCCAAAGCTCTGCAACTTGCTCCGTCCATTTCCTCCGGCGAGGTTCTTGCCAATCTGTTCTGCTGCCGTCATTCTTCTGACTTCGGCGATCTCAACATCGACTTCTTTTCTCTGGTAAGTCACCATTCCTCCTGGTTTTAGTTCTTGTTGTGCTCCAAGAAATTTTGCTTCATCATTAGTCGCCATTGCTGTTTTACTCAAATATTTGATTCATGAATCATGCATTTGAGCGTATTTATTTCACGATTTTGTTCTTTGCCCATATCTTGAATACTCGCACTGCTCACAACTTTTCTGCACTTTTGCCACTGTTCTTGACCTTATACCCTTCGTACTTACAATGTTCTTGATAGTCCACGTCTGTTTCTTGATTCTGAAGCGCATTCTTACTTTTCTGTTTTTCAGATTTCGCGCCTTCAATCTTCATTTCCATAGACCTACGTTTGGGATTTGCTTGTAGAACCCACGATTATTAGGAAAAACTGAAACTATTTTCTCAAATTCTTACCTAGCAAATTTTTAGGCTTTTGCCGAGGTCTCAATAACCCTTTTAAAACACTCTGAAACCCAGTTCCCCCTAGTTAGGCCGATATCATGGGTATGTGGAAACATAGGGTAGACACCCCCACCAAGTTAGATCACTTTAGGCGTGAGTTTGACATCCCTGCCAACGTCCATCTGAGGTTGGCTGGGGAGGAAGACTCTATCATGCCCACAGCTGATTCCATGCCCCTTCCTGTTATAGCTTTCATCGAGTGCAGACTTCGGCTCCCACTCAATATCCTTTTTCGTGAGATCATCCATT